CAGACCAGCCCAATGGACAGCTGGACACCAAGTGCATCAGCTCAGCCACCATGATGTAAGATCAGCACTCTTTAGCAGTGAAGTTTAGGATGCAGAAAATAAGCAAGAAATATATTAGACACCAGAAGGAAGAGCGACACATCCCCCAGGGACGCAGATGGGGACAGAGCCAACCCTGAGGTGTGTAGGGGTCGGACTTAGCAAAGACACTCAAGGAGGTGAAGAGAGAAAGGACAGCAGGATGTGAGGGTGAAGATTCATGCAAAATGTAAAAATGCAAATTTTACTTCTCTGCTGCAGAAGATCTGGAACAGTGACTCATCAGTGGGTTCACTTCGAAAACAGATGAACAGAAATTAACCCATCCACCCGAGACAGAAAAGACGGAAGAGATGGAAGACGACATTCCCCACATTTAAGCTCAGTCAGTCCTATGCAAGATAAATGCAAACTCAAGCACACAGAGGCAAGTCATGGTCAAACTGCTGAGAAGTAAAGAAAGAATCTCCGGAGCATGGAAAAAGGCAACATAGTTACACGCAGGGAAGGCCCCTGACTTGCAATCAACACACTCCAAATGAGAGAACTCTGCCCTAGGAGGGGTGGAGGCGGGGCTAATTCTGGCCAAGGCCGGCAGGAAGCAAGGGAGGGGTAGAAGGAAGCGTCGGCCAGGCAGGAGAATGTGGACCCCATAAACCTGCTATCTAAGAGCACACAGTCAGCCCTAAGGCTGCCAGGACGGAAGTCAGCACAGCTGGAGCTAACGGAGGGCTGCTTTGGTGTGGTTGTGTCCCCTGGGTCTGGGTGCAGGGTGCAGGGTGCAGTGGTAGCGTGAGGGTGTGTAGGGCAGGCCTGTAAGAGGTGACAATGACAGGGCCTCTCTGAGGGGATGAGGGACCCCAGGGGAGGCTGCACACAGTCGGCCAGTTCCCTGGACCTCCCCCGGCGTGTAAGACACAGGGAGCAGTGCCACGGCGCCACGGCAGAGACCACAGCCTCCTTTCTCCCAACAACGGAAGTGCAGGCCCCAGAGCCGTGGACTCCACAGCCTCCACACTGGGAGAAAATGAATGTCTGTCTTTTAAAGTCACTGTCTGTGCTATTCTGTCAGCATCAGGCACAAAGGTGCAAAGAGGAAGACAATTCTCACAATGTGCGCCGGACTCGTGCTGCCCAAGATGGAGCAAGCCCACAGAGCCCTGTCCTCCACTGGGCTCAACCTCAACTTCCAGGCGGAATACAGGACAAACGAAGCTGGACCTGGATGCTGACCCAAGCCACGGCGAGACCACACCACAGCCTCCTTCACTCTGGCTCTGATGAAGAGGCAGCCGGGCTGCAGCACTGGCCAGTGTTAAAAGCAAACCCGGAGAATCGGGCCAGGGCTGTGGCTCCCCTTCATCTCCCTCCCAGCCCTCCAAGACCAGCCAGCACAGGCCTGCTGGAGCCACAGCCTGCCAGGGCCTGAACCCCCAGACGGGAGCCCCATTTCTGGCGGACGTGGTTGCACAAAAGCTGTGAAGGAGAAATCTTTGATTTTGCCATGTTCATCCCTGCCTTGCTGTGCAGGCAGCTGCATTTGTGCTAAACGGTGTGGGTGCACAGGAGACAAAAATCTGAGATGGGGGTCAGAGGAGAGACAGAACCACGAGGAGACATGCGTGTGCGTGCACATCCACCGTGGATCGAACATGGGGAAAGACTTGCGTTTGCTGGAACACATGTTCCCCGAACAGCACAGCGGAACCACTGTTACGCAGCATTTGTATCATACGAAGTTTGCTAAGTTGCCTAGAGAAGACCAGCAGCAGCAGGATGGGTGCAGGCTCCCTGCACACCCTGCCCCATCCTAAGCGAGGGACCTGGGCCTCCGTGGACTCTGGGGTTGCAGACTGAGCTGGAGCTACTTGCTCCAGGAGGCTGGAGACCAGGAGACGACCTTCACGTACGTGGGCAGCAGGGAGGGGACTAATCATGGGGCCTGCCCTGTGCAAATGGGACACCAAGAAGCCCCCTTCAGGCACCCGAGGTGAGGCTGCGTCCGAAGCCTGCAGACCAGGAGGGCAGGTGGCCGCAGGCAGGAGGGATGGTGCCCAGCCCCAGGACGGCTGCTTTGCCCACAGCACCCTTCCATCCTCCGCAGGCTCCCGCACATGGCGTACTGGTGGGGACTGGCATCCCAGCCACCCGAGGGACACAGGCCTCTCCCAAACACCCTCTCAGACACACCTAAGACAGGGGCTTCTCCGGGAATCAAGCTCTCAGCTAGCCAGGCTGCCACAGAGAATGAGCCACAACTACTGGGCAAATGCCAGCACACCAGACTGAACAGCTAACTTACTGCAACCCAGAAGCACGAACACAGGTTCGTTCTACTGGAGAATCCAGACACGCGCCTCACTGCAATGTTTCTTGTTTCTCTGACAGATGCAGCAGGGTGACACCTGTGACACAGCAGGAGTTGCTGCAGCCAGGAATGGAGAGGACAGTGGAGGGGCAACCACCACCCCACCCAGCCTGGGGACACAGAACACTGGGCCCAGTAGGGTGTGAGGCAGCTTCACCTGGCCCTGGGGACTCCATAGACGCACCCAGGAGCGGCCAGGCAAGGTCACATGAAGGAGAGAACAGCCCAGCCCACTCGGCTCCAGTGTGGGCAGCTCTGGGGTGCACCGGCCGGGATGCCACCCACACCCACCTCCCCCAGGCCCAGGGGTGGCTCCCTCCATAGCAGCTAGGATAGAGGCAACTGGACAGCCCTCGACGACAAGGAGGGAGAGAGAGAGACGGAGTGGGAGGCCAGGTGCCTCCCTGGACCGCCCCAAGACCCCTAGCGTTCTCTCCCCAAACACACACACACACTTACATGCTTGCGTGTGCTACACTCACAGCTCAGAAGTGGGAAGGCCCATGGGTGTGGAGACCGCACCGTGGCCGGGCCCCTGCCGTGCCACCCTGCCAGGCGGAACTGGTCCAACAGGGAAAACCTGTAAGAACCCAGTCCGCTCTGCCCTCCACCGCACTGTTTCATGTGGCTCCAGCTCCCTGGCACACCACCAGCATTACAAAGACCCATCAGCGAGGGACAACCCTCACGTCTCCAGTTCCCTTGAACCAGCTCCAACAACAGGTCCTCTGCCAGAAAGCTACAGGCACCATGCACACATGTGCACATGCACACCGCTTAGGAGTGGCATGACTGTCCCTGCTGGCCTGCAGCAGCCCTGAGCAAACCGCGGTCCTGCACCCCCGTCAATGTGTCACCACCATCAGGGGACTCAGTGCCACAGCCCCTCCCATCCGGTACACCTGCCATGGCCACCTGGGGGATGGCACCTGTGGGCACTCAAAGCAGTGCCCGTGCCAGCCAGTGCTTGAAGCAAGCCAGCTTGCCAAGGCAGCCTCAGTGCAAAGGGACTGCAGCTGCTCACCACCCGCCCTCCACCCTGCCAGGCTGTGCCCTGCGTCCCCTGCCCCACCCTCTGCACAGCTGTCCATACCATCTGTCCTCCCTGGTGGCCCTCGCACCCACACCTAGTACGCTGGGTCTGGGCTGCGAGGGTGGACACGGCGGGATGAGTGAGTTGCACAGAAGTGTCAGGAGGGCACGCATCAGCTCCTCTGGTCCCGGGGAAATGCTAGCTCCAGATGTCAAGGCTGCTACAGCCAGAGGTGTGGGAACAGGAGCAAGGAGGGCGCAAGGCAAGCAGCCTTCCAGGGGAGCTCTGCTGCACCAGACTTGGGAGCAACACACAGCCAGGGGCAGGGACATCCCTGGAGTGGGGCGGGAGAGACAGGATCTGCAGGGTCACTTTTCCTAGAGACAAAGAAGCTGGCACTGTGGACCGGACAGCAAGGGCACAAGGGAGCTTCTGCCCTGCACTGAGAGCAAGCTAAGTTCTGTGAGGAACTCTGGGGGAGAGAGCAGGGCTCTCTCCAAAACCAGAACCACCTGACGCACACAGGACCAAGCTGGAAGAAGTCAAAGTTGGTGCAGGCATCCAGGGAGTGGAAGCCATAGCCAGGAGGACCAGAGCCAAGCCCAGGGGCGCCGGAGCCACTGCTGGGGGAACAGGGGTGTTAGAGCCAAGCCCATGGGAACCAGAGCCACTGCCGCAAGGGGGACGGTGCGCAGAGGGGTTAAAGCCAAAACCAGGGGTCCTAGAGACATCCTTAGGAGGAAATCAAGGATGACATTCAGCCAAGACAGACCAAAGGGTTGCAGAAAACCAGCACAGCTCACAAAACTGCAAGATTAGAGCAGATTCAGCAGTAACTGCAGTCCCACAGTGACAATTAGGATAATAGGGAGTAACCTCAGTGAGGTCTGGACACCCTGCTGATTTCTACTTATGACTACTGCTAACCTTTAGTGAGAGGCTAGCAGAACTCTACCACGTCCACCTTCAGCCTCCCTCTCCCTACACAGCTCTCACAGAGAACCCTGAGCACGCCCCAGAGGCCAGAGAACACAGAGGCAAGGTCACAAGATGAAAGGAACAACCAAGCACGGTCTGCAGGAGCAGTTATTGCAGAGGCGACCCTGGTGCAAGCGGAGCTTCGTGGTCACAGGCAGCCATGCACAGCGCAGGAAAAGCAGCAGCCACAACTCTGAGTCCGGCTCGGGCTCCCAAACAATCATACGAGACACAACCAAGAACAACAAAAGAAGCCGGGCATGGTGACACACGCTTGTAATACACTACTTGGGAGGGAGAGGCAGGAGGATCACTGTGAGTTCGAGACCAGCCTGGGCTATATAGTGAGTTCCAGGTCAGTCTCAACTACATAGTGAGACCCTGTCTCAAAAAACAACAAAAAAAGAACAACGATCACACGCCACACGCTTGTAATACACTACTTGGGAGGGAGAGGCAGGAGGATCACTGTGAGTTCGAGACCAGCCTGGGCTATATAGTGAGTTCCAGGTCAGTCTCAACTACATAGTGAGACCCTGTCTCAAAAAACAACAAAAAAAGAACAACGAAAGAGAAGAGGGAGAATATAGAACTTTATTTTATAATACAGTAAAGAAATTCCACCACAGAAGAGGGAAAACTTGGGATTTCTCGTTTAATAAATACAAATGAATAAAAATACTTTGCTTTGTAATGAAACCGGCCCCCCGCTCCCACAGAAGCCAACTGGTAACCTCCAGCACTCCGGCGTCTGCTTTGTGGCTGCCTGCCCAGCCCATCGCACACAGACCACTCACGGTCCTTCACGCCTGGGAATATTGCTTGGGTACAATACCGTCCTTCTCCACCCGTCCCTCACACAAGTCCGTCCCGAAACCCAAGCTGTGAACAACTCCCTCTAAAAAGGAAGAGCCCTGGGCTGGGGGGGCCCTGGTGGAAAGGTAACAGTCCGCGAGCCACACCAGCTTCGGGGAGCGAAGGGGCAATATGAAGTGAGACCTACTGCGTGTATCACGCCGTCTCTTACTTTAAAAATAGAAACTCCTATCTAAATCGAACCTGTCTGCAACAGGCGGGTGTCTGCTCCCACCGGAGCCAGGTCTGTTATTGCTTGAACGAGCCTTCTCCAGACTGTGCTGCTCAGCCCTGTCCGCTGATAGGGACACGAAGACCGCCACACGACCCTGCGCCACTCAGCCGGCTTCCTGTGCAGCCAACCACGTACAGGGAGAAACCCTGGAGCTTCTCAGCTTTAGACTAAAAAGGGAAACTTGCAGGATCCAGGAGAAGACTTCACTAAAACTACAGAGCTCTTCTCAGCTTGCTCTCCAGCAGAGGGCCAGTAATGAGGACCTGAATGCAAATTCCTAAAACGCAAACAGGAGAAGCCATCGGTTTTGTGGCTCGAAGTAGCCATGTGTTCTACATCCCTGTTCATGGAGCACTTCCACAGCGTCTCCTGGAAGGGCGTCTGAGAACGCAGCAGCAGCAGCAGCAGCTGCTGGTAGGTACCAGGCAGGAAGGGAAGCGATGAACACCTCTGGGCACAAGGGACTGACCGGGCACCTACACGAGCCCACAGCTTTACCCACTGCTTCCAAGGCCACAAGTCTTCTCGCAGAGCCTCGCTGGTGTCCTATCAGCCTGAGGCCTGGCCTGTGGCTCAGGATGGGAGGGCAGCCGCAGGCCACGCTGCTGGAGGGAGAAGAGGTAGTGAAGACAGGGCAGATGGCCAAGCTGGGTACCCAGGAGGGACCCTGTGGTGCTGCGACAAGGAGTGAACCGCCGGTCCCGGAGAGAGCTGTCTGGGTGGAAGGTAAGAGAACGGGCTGTGGGTCTGTGAATGGCCAGTTTTGGTGCCAGAATGGCAGCACTGACACCAAGAGTCTGCAGGAGCAAGCTGGACAGCTCTGTGGGGCATGTGTGCCCAAATGCGGGCGCAGCCTCACAGTCCCAAGGACTTCTTTACGATATGCTTGGCAATCTTGTAAAACTGCTCACGGTCATCCCGCCACATTTTAGAAGCATCCACATTGGCACCACTCTCGTCATTGGGCTCTGAAAGACAAGGGAGGGCCCTGCACATGAAAGGGGGTCTGCATGGGCAGCCTGACGAGAGGACACATGGGCCTCCTCGCCTTCCCTGCAGTGAGGGTGCTGCTGGGAAGCTCGTGACTTCTACAGCCAGCCACTGCACAGCAGCTCCCACCGCTGGGGCAGGGCAGCTCCACCGGGTGGGCGGGCGGTTTGCTTCCGGCACCCCAGACCCTTCTGCCCGCTCTGTATCCCTAACCAGACGGCCTGCGCTCTCCACCCTTCCCGCCCCACCAACTCCGGCTGGGCTCCTGGATGCTGCCGACTCCTAACCCAGGCCCGGGTCCTCCTTCCTGAGGCGCAGGCCCACAGACATCTGCAGGGCCCCTCCTCCAGCCTGGGCTCCTGATATAGGTCTGGCAGTGCCCCGCAGGTTCGGCCAACGCCACCCTAGCCCAGCCGTTTCCTTCACCCCAGCCTTTCCCTCCCTCCTCTCCTAACTCCTGGTTAACTCAACTCATCCCAGGAAGTGGCCTGTGAGCCCAGTGTGACTTGCCACATTGGCCTTTAGCTGCTGCTGGATTTGACAGGTTCTCTTCGAACGTGAGTCTCCCACACTGAGCTTTACCCCTCAGCGTAGTGCGAGCACACAGGAGGACCCAGTGAACACCTACTGAGTGAACAAGATGCCCAAGGGTCAGAGTATGGCCAATCACAGTGCACAGTACGCTACGTGACACCAGACTGTCTTTAGGATTTACAGTGGTGAAAAGTACGTTTATGTTTGGCAAAGCAGCACTAAATTAATTACATAGATTAAGTACAAAGAAATAAAACTCAGATGGGGCTGATGGAGGGACAGGAGCCGGTGGCACAGGGCCTGGCCACAGGCCATCCTACCTGCCAGCATGCTCACGACCGACAGCAGGATCTTCTCCACACTCTGTACAGGGCTCCACCTCTCGGCGCTGCTCTCGTAGCCCATGGGGTCGTCGCCTGGTGCGTGAAGGATGGAGATGCAGACTCTGCCGTCGGGGTAGACTGCAAGGGTCAGAGGCAGCCAGGTGAGCCGCACACGGTGCCCTGGGTGACACGGGGCTGGGGCGGATGCCGCAGGTAGAAGAGAAGGAGCGCAGAAGGACCCGGCTATTTGCACAGCAGCAGAAGAGCCAGGGCCTGAGTGGCGTGCTTCACATCTGCCCCGGCCTGCTGTGCCTGCAAGCTGGGCCTCACAGGGCCCCATGCACCCACTAACAGGACGCTAGGCTGGCCTGACCCCTCTGCCTTCTAAGAGATGTCTTTAAGCATTATCTCCAAAAGACAAGTGAATGAAGGCGATCTGGCAGACATTTCACCGAAATTAGGGATACTGGAAATACTTTTCAGAGTCACATTTCACAGACATTCCTAATTCCACCATTAAATCCCTAAGCTCGACTGTAAAAACCACATTCACATGGCTAGGATAATAGCACTTGGAATCACTTCACTATCCAGAGATCTCTGTGAATGTTACAACAGAAAAGCCCCCATCCGCACTCTGATGGTCAGGGCATTCCGACGCACCCGCTTCCCCCCTCTCCCTTCCAGGTGCAGTGCTAACAAGGTGGAGAGGGAACCTCAGGGCGCAACGGGGGGGGGGGGGGG